TTAGTCTTCAAACATACCTGTCCTTCATTTCATTCCCTTTCCTCTGAGTCTGGCCACTTTCACATTCTTTCCACAGTTCCTATTCTCTGAAGCCTCAAAACTATCGTACAAGTGTTTTCTCTACCTCATGTGGCTTTTCAGAGGGATATTTATTTAGAAATTCAGATTACTTGTAGTATGAAAAACACTGACTGAGAAAGAGCACTGGTAAACAAATGATAGTTTGTTTATTACAAAGAAAATGTCTAAAGTATGTTATACAGATCTAGATGTCATTTTACTTTCATGAAAGTTCTACTTGCTGTCTCTACCTAATGGCTTCATTTTTTTTCTGATGGAAGTACATTAGAGTAAGCAAAAAGACACATTATTCAGCAGGACCATTATTGATCCCATGTAAATTAAAAAAAGGGAAAGGGGCAAGAAAATAAACAGTCATTTCCACAGGTATATGCATAAAAATACAATGGGAATTCTCAAAGAGCCAACATAAAAACTAACTACTAATTGATGTTCTATTACAAATACAGCATACAATGAACACAAATTTTAAGCAGATCTCCTAAACAAGGCTATATTAGTTTTTCAAAAGTAAGGTATAAAAAAATTAAAAATCAAAGTAATCGTGAGAAAATGTATTGCCTGTAGTACATCATGTTGTTGATGTTATGCAGAATAACCCACTAACATTTAATTCATGGTGAGCTCTGACCAAAACTTAGTATCATGACATCTATATGGTGGGTGTAGCTCACGAGCCAAATAACTGCCTATTTACAGGGGAAAAAATACACTTAGGAGAGACATTAAGGCTTCCTTTTTGCAAATCTCTATTTCTAACTGGAATGAACATCATGTTCCCTCAAGCTGAGCTCTTTACCATAGCTTCAATCAACACACACAACTTGTAAAAATATCCTCAGATCTACTATGTTCTTTCCCCTCATAAACTAAATAGAGTATCAGTCTGTCTCACTCCTCTCTACAAATCTTGCTTTCACAAAACCACCCACTGAACAGTCCTGCTAGGTAGCAAATTGTAGTTTAGTATCTTTTGAGTAAGAGCTCGTGTAAATGCCTCTCGCAGCTGAATAATTTCATTTTACAGCTCCCTGCTCCTGAGTGGACAGGATTTGTGCTCAAGGGTAAACAGTTAACAGGTTTGATCAATGCCTGTTCAGCATGTAAGTACCCTTTGATCTCAGGCCTCAGAGGATCCTCACATGTCCTACTTCGGAATTTGTGATTTGTTTTTAATGGGTTGTAGCTTTTCATCCTCAGAGTCTCACTGTCCTGTGATTTATATGCCACTCCTATGCTTCCAGAATGTTACAGAAAAAGGACTGTATTTATGGCAGGTTTTCTATGATGCTACAGAAAGTGGTTTCAAAATATGTAATGCATCATATAGGTACACATTGTAAGAAGGGTATGTTACCTTTTCTGACTGTCTTGCTACTTTCATTCACATTAATCAATTTTATATGTCCCAGTGGACGAAAGAATGGACTGTATAGATTTTAATTCAATCTGTTAGGACAAGTGGCTGACTCAGAGTTGAGAAGGAGCATGACCTTTCATAATCAGTTTTCTGTTAGTCCCAGTGCAGAAAATCTTGTAATCCTCAGTGAGGAAAAATAAACCTTTGGTGTTTCTTGAGTGGCCTTTCTGGCCGTTTTGCCCCCAGTACAGCTGGTGTGCACAGAGCAGGTTTCAGACTGTTAGAGAAACCTTTTCCTCATCATATTCAGCTTATAGGATCAACTTAGTTTCTAGCTAAGGCAAAAATTGCAGTTAGGATTAGGGATCGTGACAGTTTCTATTATTTAGTGCCTTCTCTAGTGCAGACACATTCATGGGAAGATTTTCAGAAACCTCTGGCTACCTTTTCTCTGGAAGTTATATTTCATGTTTCCATCTCATCTCAAAAATTTATTTTCCTTGTGAAAAATTAGTTTTCAACAACAAGATATGTACACAGAGAGGGAAGGATAAAAAATCATAATGTACTAAACCCACACGGCAGATATCACAGTCTTCACTCTTCTTCCTGTGCTCCACTGCAGCCTGTTCACCACAATCCTCCTCACCCTTCACTTTTTGGCCATTCCAGGGAATTCAGGCCAAGTTCAGGTTTCTGCAGGGCTATAGAGGGTCAGGTTCAGTGCTGGGTGCCAGTGCAGGTTTGGCACTGCTGACCACGGGTGGGTGTCAGAATCCAGAAACCCAGCTCCTCCACAAGGTACATTCAGAAATACTTAATGGCCTTAAAGGATTAGGCAGGACTGAGAAGAAAGTGATCCTGCTGGCTCTCTGGGGTGACTCAGCCCGAGCAGGTGCAGGTGACCTGGATTTCACCCCATGCAGTGAGAGCTGTCACCTGGGGCCCTTTCCCTGCCTCCCTCTGTGTGTGTCTGTAGGAAGGAATTAGAGGCATCATGAGACTGCACTCCTGGGCATGGATGGGGTGTGAGTGCCTGGGCTGGGGCTGTGGGTGGCAGCAGCAGCCCCTGGAACAGGATTATTTGGGATATAGGCACAGGGTTATGTGTGCACACAGCACAGGGCACAGGCACCCGTCCCAGCCGAGCTCCGTGTGGTGTCACTGGAGATGGAGCTGCTGGCTGGGCTGCAGGAGGGGCTGGGCAGCCGGAGCTGTGCTGTGCCCCCAGCTCATCCCCCAGAGCCCTGGGCTCCTGCTGACCCTGCCTGCAGCCCCTGCTCTCCGAACACCACGAGCTGAAAGCTCACTCCTCTCGCTGGGCACACTTAGGCATCTCAAACTTCTTCCACATGAGCTGCAAACCCAATCTGAGCACTCTTACCTGGATGAGCTTTGAGTCTGTGCTGTAAAATCTGTTTGACTTCTCAGGCATTTGCTTGAAGAATATGTTTGAGATATGTTTAATCATGGATTTTTTTCTTACAGACCTTGGCTTTTATTATGCCATCAAGGAATCAGGAATTAATGTTGATGTCACCATAGTTCAAATTATTCATTTCAAATTGGATTTATTGCTGGAAGTGAATCTAGAATCCTTACCACTAGAAATCCATTACTTTCAATGCAAACAAGAAATTAATCAAGTGAAGCACTACAAGTGAGGCAGCAGCAGAAATCCAGGCAACACAAAATATATTTTGGCTCTTCACTTCACACTTCTTTTGGGACACTTACATACCCTGATGGCCTCGCTCATGCAGAGAGCCTGCAGAATGCTGCTGTGGCCAATTCCCCGTTCTAATTAGATTAATCAGAACACAGGGAGTCTGTGGTGAAAATTAGGTTGAAATGTATTTTCAAAAAAAGACCAATGGAAAGAAATCCTTCATGAATGAATCTATTTTAAAAGCAAGTGTTATTTCAAGGCCAAATTTCAAATTTCAGTTGAATATTTTTAGAACTCTGTCATGCTCTAAGTTCAGCTGGGAAATAAGTACCACACAGCTGCTTGCTCACACACACACACCAAAACATGCCGTGGGATGGGGAGGAGAATGAGGAAAAGGTGAAGTCCGTGGGTTGATGTTAGAGCAGTTTAATAACCGGAAAAAGTAAAATATAATAATAATAGCAACAATAGTAACAATAATAATAGTAAGGAGAATGAAAAAGAGAGAGAGGAATAAAACCTAGGAAAACCAAGGGATGCTCAATGCAGCTGCTCACTACCTGCTAACCCATTCCCAGTCCATCTCTGAGCAGTGATCAAACCTTCCTGGCCAGACACCCCCAATTTCTTTACTAGGCATGATGTTTTGTGCTATGGAACGTCCCTTTGGCCAGTTCAGGTCAGCTGTGCTTGCCATGCATGCAGCTCGTGGCATCTCTCACTGGCAGAGAATGAGATGCTGAAAAGTCTTGGTGTAGGATCAGCCCTACTGAGCAACAACTAAACCATCAATGTGCTATCATTATTCTTACACTAAATGCAAGGCTCAACACTGTGACAGCTACTAGGAAAAAAATTAACTCTATCCCATCTAAAACCAGGACAAAGACCCATTCTATTTAAAATACTCAAATATTTCCTCTAGTTAGTCACAATAAATCAACAAGAGTCAAAGGAGAGCAGTTCTGCATTAGCAAGATATTTATGTAGAGAAAGGTGGTCTGTGCCAAAGTCCCAGGGATGTGCTTTTGGCATGAGAACTGGTGGGTTTACATCTGCTCTGCAGTGGTAGAAGTTACTGCTGCCATTCCTGTTGAGCAGCAGGATTATTAATTGCATTTTAAGAAAGTCTCATATTTAATTGTAAACAAAAAAAGCTTTTGTGGCTTATGCAGAAACTGACAGTCATCATAATTTTTTAATTTATTTTTCTTCTTAGGGATTTACAAAACTTGCCTCCATCTCACAGTGTTTAATTTTTCTCAAACTGGGAATTTTGTCAATTTTGTATGCGTGCAGTTTTTATGCATATGTCCCTCAGCTCTTCTAACAAAACAGTATAATTAAACATTCAGATTTTTACTGCTCTTCATCATACACCATCTAAGTCTGGGGGGTTCTCTTTTGTTGAATTAATGGCATGTCACTTTCAGTTGTTTATGTAACACGAATACAAAACAGAAGGTAAATTATGTATGATACTATCTAAAGCTATAGCTTTCTTTAGGCCTCAATTATAAATGAGTCAGTTATCTGTTATACATTATCTTTTTTTCATCCTATCCCCAGATACTGAGGTGTCCCCACTTTCCTGAGAAGTGCTGATTGCCAGGTCTAGTGGAATATGTCCCTGCCTATGGCATGGGGGTTGGAACTAGATGATCTTTAAGGACTCTTTCAAACCAAAGAATTCTATGATTCTATGATATTGATTTATATAGGAATGCGATTTTGATTCCAGTAGGGTTTATCTGCAGCTGTCATCTCTGTAAAACAGGAACAATTTTTTAAATCTTCTTATAATACCTGGAAGGTCTGTGTTGGTCTGCAGTTGGGCTGGACCCAATGCTTCAACTGATGCTAACAGGTACTTAATTGATTTTGTTTCTTACCTAAGAGGACTTTTTTTAATTTCAATCAGCACATCAGATGAAGAGAGGAAAGTGGACTGAAGCTTTGAGCAAGGGAATGAATGGTTAGAAAAGCCCACAGTCTTTAAGATTTTCTTTGATTATTATGTCTGTGACTGCATCAAAAACAAATTTGACATTCTGGGTGTCTGTGGCACAGGTCAAGTGACAATATATCTCTTTGTCTTGTTTCCTTATGTTCAAGTCTAGAAATTGTTTCTTGATGTAATTTGCAGCATCTTCAAATGTGTTTTGTCCTAATGGAAAGAAAAGTAAAAGCAAAAGAAGACACATTTCGACTGGTACATCTTCACAACTGCAGAGACAAGAAATAATGTTTTCTCCCTTTTTTTTTTTTTTTTTTTTTTTTTTTGCTTTTTATTTGAATTAGCTTCAAGCATTAGGTATGAAAATTTTGTGTCTAAACTGTTTTTTCTCTGGCAATTTCTGACACGACCTTATATATTCTCTTGCATCACCTGAGAACATCTGGTGTTTTAAAATTTCTAGTAGACTCTACTGTGACATAAGCAAAGAGACAGACTTCCCTTATGGAATGAGTTCTTAAAATAGGGACAAAAATCTCGGATGCAGTTGTGGTGTGTGTGAGTGATAAGATATTGACTTGTACTGAAATGTTGGCTGAGTCCATCACAGCACCCTCCAGCCACCTGAAACTTTTAGATTTCTCATCTTCCTCTACCACCAAGGGACAGAAATAAACATCTCCAGAGAGAAATGAACCCACCCAAGGATAACATGATGAGTAGGTGAGATGAGTTGAATTTTGGCTGTGTCTGTCTCATACCATTATTTCATGAGAAGATGCCTAGATAAGAGGTTTAGTATTTAAAAGAGCTTATATATAGGTGTTATGAGTCAGAGTCTCAGTGTTTAATGCATGACCCACACAAAACATCTGAATGCGTTTTCTCCTGAACACTCCAAACTTACCATTATACTCAGGAAAGCAGATATTCAGGTGAACTTTTGTTATTTTCTCTTGAAATAGGTCTTTTTTGTTTAGGAACAGCACAATGGAAGTGGCTGCAAAGCACTTATGGTTGCAGATGCTGTTGAACAGATGAAGGCTTTCATGCATTCTGTTCTGTTGAGGTGCAAAAGGTAAACATGAGACTGACAAATCTCATCCTCATATGTCATTTTTACTGCGATCTTCTTTACTGGAAAGAACCACTAGAGTATAATAGCCTTTAAAAGTTATCAGAGAACGGGAATGTGCCATCAGAGAGTACATTAAAACTTAGAAGCAAAAAGGGCTGTTTGTGTGTTCTGACTCACCACTTCTTTATCTTCCACCAGAACCATGTCATAGGCACTGAGTGCAGCACAGAATATGATGCAAGTAACTCCTTCAAAGCAGTGAATCCACTTTTTTCTCTCTGATCGTTGTCCACCCACATCAAACATCCTTTGCAGAAACAATCACACATGTACAATGTAAAGCACTAATAAGGATGTAGTCATGCTTTTAATGCACAGAGTTCAAGGGGAGATCAATGACAAATATCCAGCTTTTCCAAATATTAGTCTGTTTCTACCCCAACAGGCCAATGAGTGCTGTATGTTGTTACTCATGGCTTTGTAGAGGGCATAAGATGACATAAAAAAGCTTAAATACCTGCAGGTAGAATTAATACTCAGTATTTCAACGTGTCACTTTGTGTTGAGGAAGTGGGACTCAGTGGAGGCTGAGACTTGCAGGCTAGGGTTTATTTAGGGCAGAGTTCTGAGACATGGAAAAAAGACCTTCAAATTCAATGTCATTTACTACTTCATGGTTTGCTTGCAGTGAACTGACATTGACCAATAAGACATATGACCAAAGGCCAGTGACACATCGACCCCTGGTTGTGCATGAATAGATGTTGCCACCTGCTCCCTGCCCTGGAGGGGTCACTGAGCTCACTACATAACCTGCATCACACCTTTGGAGAGTCTTTTCTGTCCATCCCATTAGCTGCTCTTAAGCAGCAATTCCTGGAGAGCAGGAATCCCTTCTTCTGTGCAGCAGGATTTGTAGGCCTGTTCTTTGCAATAATTTCCTTCCACCTTTGCCAGGAATTGCTGCTACCTTTGAGTAGTGTCATATGAACTTTACAGGGACTCTCTACGGGGTCCAAAGCCAGCTGGGCACACCTAGCTGGGCCCTAGTTTGGGCTCTTAGCCTGAGCTTCCAAAACTCCCACTTGCATTTGCAGCTCTTCAGTGATAAGGGCTAGAGCTTTCTTTTCACTGTTTTCCTGAAACAAAAGGTGCCAAACCTGAAGATTTTTCAAGTGCATTAGAAAGCAGGGAAAACATAAAAAGTCAAATCTATCCTGCCTTTAGGTTTTCTGTTTCCTAATGTGCATGATGACTTTTCCCTGTACTGCCTGTTGTTGAACTTAATACTGTAAAACCTAATCCCCTGTTGGATTACCCCTTCCTTCAAGAATATGTATTAGATTTCTGGATCCCGCAGTATCTGAAAATTAAACACAACTCAATTCTTACAGCAATGAATATAACAGGATTCAGTAAGAAACAATCATGTCAGTAGTAAACAGAGCAAGAATAATTTGTAACCGAAACATTGGTTTTTGCAGTGACTTAATCCTTTGTTTCCTTCACCATCAGCAATGCAGTTGATGTTGAAAAAGGTTATTTTTATAATTTCTCATCCTTAGAAAAAAAAAATGAAACCCTTTCCAATGGTCACAATGAACTGTTTCAGCAGCTGAGGAGTAATCAATTTTTTTTTCCGGTACATTTGATCTTTTCTTTTACTGGGTGTCTATAAAAGTGAGTTATTTTGGAAATTGAGAAATTGTTGTGGAGCAAGATTTTGATAATAGTAATAGCATTCTTCCAGGCATATGTTCAATGAGTTCAGAAGGTCTACTGAAGAGTGGGGTCAGCACAAATAAAGTATCTTGACTTTTGTCTCTGATTAGTACTCAAAAGTCACCTATAATTACATGCCTTTCTTGATTTGTGGTGTATAACTCTGAAATCGAAGAGCACATGGAAGCTAAATTTCACTAAACTAGCAAAGTAACCACTCAGCAAGGAGCAAATAAAAATCAATGTTTTCTGTGCAACTTTAATTCAGTTCCCTGGAGCAGTACCGGGATTTAGACTTTTACTGCATAGATACAAAATGTTTTCTGTCTCATACAGTTCAGTAAAGGGACAAGTGTTTAGTGAATGAGGCATCTGTTCATGGTTTTTTTGTATCCCTGTATGGCGTGTGACCTGAAGCCCCATCAGTATATCAGCCAAGACTCATTCTGAATGTGTAAGTGTCCCTCTCTTTATAGATGTTTCTATGGTACTTATCAAACTTGGTGCAGAGACATCAGGATCCTCCAGCAGTTTTGCATTGCTATGGCAATGCACAGTAGCATTAACATGGATTTATAATTGTTCTGCACCACTTTAGCAGCTCAGACCCCTCAGACTCCTCTGTAATGATTTTAGCTAATATTACTCAACTCCCTGAAACCATCAATGAATTTACTCACAACACTACTGTGATGCACAGCAGAGAGGGTAAAAACAGTGGGGTTTGTGTTTGTGGTGGCATTAAGAGCCTTCCTCTTTTTTGCAGACCCTCGGGTAACTAAATTCCCAGTTGTGCTGCATTTCAGCTAGACCCAAACACTAATGCTGATATTCTCATATCAGGATTGATAACGTCCATGTCAATGAGGATTTCCCTCTGGTGGTTTCTTTCTCCACCCTGAATTTATTTCTTCCATGAACTATGATTGTAACCAAAAGGGTTCAAATTTCCAATGTACAAAGCTATCTGGAAATACATTAATCAGAGAAAAAGAAGATGATGTCTATGACATTGCACTGTACATTTGTGGGCAACTAATGAATTTTCATGGGCGACCAGGGTATTGATAGATGATAACAATTTATTTGTAAGTCATCTACTTCAGGATCTCATTTTGTATGTGCAATCTCCGTTGTGTTAAAGCATATGTGTGGTAGAATAGATAGTTTGGGGAATGCTTAATTGGCACATGAGGTGAAAGAAAGAAGCCAAATGAAAAATGTAAAAGTTATAATCCTCATGCTTTATAAATCTGTCTGTCTCTACAGGCAGTTTCTTGTCTAGACTGCATTCCTCAAGATGCGCTCCAGCCTTTAAATTAAGAATTAAATAGATTTCAGTCCACAGAGAAAAACATTATAGAACTCTGAAATGATAATAATTCATTCAAATCCATTTTCATGTGCAATTAGATGCTTTTAATTGGTTCACTGAGCAGAACTAGAACTTGGATCTGAAAGTGTAAAATATTCCAGTTGAATTTCTCAGAGGCATTATTTTCAAAATTTTTTCTGAATATTTTGGTTTTCATCTTAAATGAGCATGAAGACATGCTTGATAATGCTGAAATTCCCCACAGGACAGATTTTTTTTTTTTTTTTTTGCCAACTGTAGAGCATTCCAGTGCTAAAAGCTGTTATTTCCATTCTCAAAAGAAGAGTGAAAGCTTGAGACCGTGTGCAAATTGGTAGACATCAAATGTTTTTTTTGTGTGCTCTTAAGGACATTTAAGTAGGCAAATTTCATAAATGTCACCATTATTCAAATGGCAGGATATAACTAAAGCTTTTTAGACATTTACATAAGTAAAAATATCCTTTCAGAGCCTAGTATTCTGTGACCTGTTTATAATGGTCCATTATATGCTCAAAGTTGGAGTGCTGATAATAAAATATCTTGCTTTTTAAGCTGTATAAAAGTGTTAAATAAGACTGGATTCAATGATATCACAATGATATCACCTGTGTTATAATAAGTCAATACCTGTGAAAGAAAATATTTAAGAAAGATAAACCCCAAGAAGATGGTAAAATATGGTTTTCATACCTGAAGTTTAAATCCTTGAAAGAAAACTGAGTCTCTATAATCCCAGTTGTCTGCACTCGGGAGTGCAGGACATCTTGCTCAGTGGGGACATAGTCTGGCATTGCCAACCTGTCCAAATCGTTGAGGTAACTAGGGAGAGTAAGGAAGAAATGCTGGTTGGTGAATTCAGAAAGTGAAGTGTCCATTATATAATCATTCCCCACTGAGCCACTTTTAACTACGTTATATATATTTCACATTTAAATACAATACTGTTGGTATTTATATTACTGAGTTCTACAATTCAGAGCCTTTCTTTTTTATTTTCTTGTATAAAGAAGTGTAATTCAGTTGCACTTAATAAGCATCTTTCTGAGGATTGCAGCTAAGGAAAATCCTTGTTTTCCTTAGGGATGCTTGAAAACCACTGTCAGCAAAGAGATTTTAGCCATTTTCTCTCAGCAAGTGGGAATTGCTACCTCAGGGGAAGAACCACAAGCATCATGCAGAAGGAGATGTGTAAGGAATCATCTCAGCCTGTCAGACTGGTTGCAACAGCATTTTCCTTCCTTAGTGAAAGGGCGGGCATAATATTTTGGAGGAATTAACTCGTTTTCCCTGTAGACCTCTCAATTTACAGCAAGAAGGTACATAGTGATTTTAAAAAATACATTTTTTTAGTCAAAACCAAAAGCTTCAATGGAGCTGAGGATTCCCTGGGTTATTATTCCAATGACCTCTTGGAAAACTGGATTATCTGCTTTCACTTCTGGTCTACAGAGATAAAATCTGCATAATGTGAGAACCCAAACCAGATCTTTGAAGCCTGTTTTTGTCCAACACTTCTGTCACTTCTAGGGGCTGACAGCTTTCTTTAAAAGGCTGGGCAGAGCCACTGAATCTTACTGGCTGGTCTGGGAATGTGCATAGAAGGGTTATGAGTTGTCAAAGGAAAAGAAAAAATGATGTCTGTGTAACTTCCTGCATTTTAGCTACTGATATTCAAATAAAGACGAAAGCCAAAAGCAAGAAACCACACAACTGATGAAGAATTTTTAGTGTCCAGTTGGATTCCTATACCATCCATATATGCAGCCTCGTGTCTGACAAACAAAACACTGAGTCTCTAGTGTCTATTAGGCTCCATGCCTTCTTTTCTTCTCTCTACACTAAGTCTGCCCAACAGGAAGTTCAGCTGCTCAGTTTAACCAGAATCTTCCAAAAGAAACCTCACAGATCATCATCCTTGTGTGCAATATTTAATAGATCTGTAATCTAAAAAAAAATAAAAAATAAAAATAGAAAAATAAAATACAATTAAATTAAAATTTTAAAAGCTAGAATCTTTCATTTGGATATTTCCAAGTAATGTTTGGAAATGGGATTTTCTTATTTTAATTTGAATAAACTGCATTCAGTCCGCAAATGGTATTGAACCTGATCTGAGTAATTCAATGTTTTCCCATAATTTGAGGCCAGGAAATAATCTGTTGGGGAAAGAAAAAACAAACAAACAAACAATATAGCTCTGTTTCTCTGAGTAGGGCCTGAGGCAAACTCATCTCACCTTTGTGGAAGGCAGAAACAAAAGACGTTTTGTTATTTATAAAGCATGTAAGCGCTAAAATAAGCACTTGAATATAAAATAAAGTTCTAATAGTTCTTAGCCACAAATGCCCAAATTAAATTCAACACAGCCAATTGTAACTGCATAAAGAATTAAGCCAAGCCAATTATCTAGTTAAAGGAGCATGAGGCAGCTCTGCAGGTGAGACTGCACTGGGAAAGGAGGGAATGGAAATCGGTATCTCAGTAAATGCTGATTTTTCCTTGGCTTGGATGAGGTGACAGGACTCCTACCCTGAGAGGAAAACGACTGAGCTAGCAAGATGCATCGTGTACTACTGGTAGCTGTAAAATAACGTGCAAAGTCACAGTTTATAATCCCAATTTTGCCCTTTCCATACCCATCATTCCATTTCAAAACAGAATTAGTTCCAAGTTAATCTAAGGGAGAAATTCCAGCCAAATTTGACAGAGAGGGAATTTTTCTATTATTTAGAAGATATCAATTCTTTTTTTCAATTGAAATGCACAAAGGAAAAGCAGTGATCAAACTTCATTAGCATGAATTAATAATGAAAAATCCCAGAGAAGATAACCTCAGAAAGTCAAAGTTTACACAGAATTAATCAATATTTTTTTGTAGGAGCTGATTCACAGGCACTGAGAAAACAGGGTTTTGGGTTTAAAGGAAATTGAGCTACAGCATTAGATGGTTGATTGACTGTAGCTGACTTTGAACAGATCATTAGAAGCCCAGCAGCAAGGGCAAATATTAAGCTGATTTTAATGGTTCACAGCCAAAGGCTAGAGTTTTAGAAGCATCAGGTACCAAAAGATGAAGACAGAGAAGCAGGATTTTCAAGAAATTAGCAGAAATGTTCAAGCAGATGAAAAACATATCACTGTAGTTGTTCTTAATATGTCTAGAAATAAACTAGTTATAAATAAACTGCAGACACAATCTATATTAACCTCCTTAAATACTGAAACCGATTGCAAGTTAAAACAGGATGCAAACAATAACACTGAAAGAGAAATAATTTAGGTTCTGCTGTCTTCTTTGTAGACAACAAAACCTAGTTTGCCAGGCAGAGTGTACACAGAAGAGTGTTAACTGGTAAACACGGTTTAATTGTTGCTTTTTTTTAATTTAAGAGGTAGTTTTCCTGTTATTTACTATGATTACCTTGTTATAGGCTTTTAGTGGGAATGCAGTGGAACCTATCAGAAGGGTTATGTTAGAAAAAATTGCTCTGTACCATTCTTATAAAAATACAACACTGCTATAAAACACTGTCAAATCAGGCACAAAACAACACAGGCAATATTTTCTTTGTTTAGGACTCTTGCAAAAGGTCTTCATTCTTGTTTGGAAAATATAATGAGATGAAGAATTTTTAATATTTTCTCTGCATATTCCCGGCACTATATCTACAATTATTGAACTATGGATACCTTCAGGTTGCTTCCTGAAGTCCAACATTCAGGAATGCCTTTCTCTTCCTGCCTTGGAGAAGGGACACCCAATACTTTGGAAGACTTCACCCTGCAGGTGCCCTCAGCCTGTAGGAGGATCTCCAGGAGTGGGGATCCAGCTCCAGGTCTGGGAAGATGAGCTGGAGCAAACCTGTGCCCCAGGTTTGGGCACTCTCGAGGCCAGACCCAGTGGCACCTCTCTCCATGGCTGTATGGGCTGAGTGAGAAGGCAGCAGGGCTGGGGCCTGCAAGGACAGCTGCCAAAGCAGCCAAGCCAGGCACTCCTGAAAACTCTGAATTCACTGACTATGCCTGAGGTGAGATGTGCCCCAGGTGGACAAAGGTGATCCTTTGTGGGGTTGGGGCTGAGCAGCCCTAACCTTGCTTATCTGTCTGGCACCTCCCAGGACTCAGAAAGGGAACTGGGCTGTCAGGCTGGAGAGCAGCTGGGGTGGTGATGGCCCAGAGAACACCTGTCCATGGAGCTGGGTTAGTTTAGAATAAAGTTTTTATAGTTTCCTCCATACTTACATTTATCATCTTGCAACATGTACAAAATATCACTCAAGGTAAAATCTATGCTGTTTCAAGTCACCTTTCCCTCATTTTGTCAATCTTAGAAACACTCAGAGGGAGAATAAACCTTTTTATTTTATATAAAACATTCAAACAAACTCACAGAAACAATTTCTGAAACCTTGTTTTCCCTTGTTTCCTCCAGCTAAACACTTCTGATATATTATAAACCTTAGCACCCCCCCTTTCCCATGGTAATGAGCAGTGATTTCCACGGGCTGTTCTGCAAGGGCACAGTTGTTTCAGCAGCCTGGCCAGCTGTGGAACAGCTGGAGTCACCTACTAGGCGGCCGAGTCGCTGAGCTGGTACTCTGCTGCCCTGGCCAAGCACGCCTGGGTCCCGCCGTCCTGCCACACGCGTTTCATCAGCTCAACCAGCTCACAAGACATGCTGCCATCCTCCAGACTTGTTGCCATGGCACACAGCTTCCTTTCATCCTCCTAAAGAGAAATTCCAGTAAATATTGTGCAAGCGCGCTGTGCCCCTTCACCTCCTTGAAGATGTGCTTGGTTTGTAATGAGTTGCAACGGCAAAATTTCTTGTTTTCGCTGGTTTTTTTCAGGTTGCTGTGCTCACCTGTGCATGTAAACATTCTTTTATAATCTTGCTTCCCTTTAGGTAGTGCCAAGGTTAGGCTGAAATTGTGATACACAGAGTTTTCATCTTTTTATTGTTTTGTTTAGTTCATATGAGGGCTCAGTTTCATCTTGCCATAAGCATTCACAAATAGTCCAACTTGGATGGAAGGCTTTTATATCAAGAGAGAGTAATAGGGTATCAAAAATTAAATTAAAAATGACATTAAAAATTAAAACTATTATAATTATAACAATGTAGAAATCTATATCTAAAGGTGTTTTTGAATGTCTTTGTAAGAAAAAATTTCTAGCTTTAGACCCCAGTAAGAAATGTGGCACAGTGAATATAACTAGTGAATGCATTTCCCATATATGGGGAAGAAGAAACCTGTACAGAATAAAATCCCAAATATTTAAAATATATTATTCTGTAATTTCTTCCTTTCGTAGTCAAATAAAAAATATTTTAAATCCTCTATTTAATTAAAAAAATTCCTTTCAGTAGTTAACAGCTCAGGAATTTACTGTAAATAAAGAGCATGATTAAAAGAGTAATTTGATACACTGTCACAATAAGGGATGATTATAAAATATAATTCCTTCCTAGTTGTAGAAGTAGATAAGTCAAGTGACTTGCAATCAATAGATGCAAAAGAACAAATGGATTCTGACAGATACTGTTTTGGCAGGGAGTATGTTTTATTCAAAACCAGGAAGCAACTTTAGAAAAAATTTAACAAATTTATTTTAGGAATGTGCTATATTTTTATGCCTCAAGAGGAGCTGCAGTTTATGGAAACTTTATAAAAGTCAGAGACAGATCAAAAATTAAACACTGCCTTTTTTTTTTTTTTTTTGAAAGAGAAATTGAGTAGGCATGGACAAAAAAAAATAGAGAAATTGAGTAGGCACGGAGAAAAAAAATAAACCAAAAACGTGGGAAACAACCACTAGAAAACTGCCTTGAAGGAGGGAGAAGGACAGCAGGATAATTGCCCTTATCCATCAAACAGCTCCAGCTCCATTTACAGCCTCATGCCCTCCTGCAGTGCTGGGATCAGCAGAAGCAGTCAGGTCTCGTGTGTGCCCCACATTGTCTGCAGGGTGCACACTTGTTCAGCTGCAAGATAAGGGTTGGAATGTTCTCTGCTTCAAGATATGGCATATCACGGAATGATTACAGCTACCCGCCTACTAGGCTGCATTTGTAGGTTGAATAGCCTGCAGTGAGAAGCTTTGACCTCAGTCTCCACGTGTAGAGGGTAAATGTTCATTGATTATTATGCAAAAAGGGCAAGTGTGGATTTTGGTGCTTACATAGTAAAGGGAGATAGGAGCAGATTGAACTTATCACAAGCCTGATTTGTACAATTTTTTGTTTCTCTCTGGCATTTACAAAGACTTCAGATGATTTTAATACTAAAAATAGATTGGAATTATGTTTTAGAAAGAAAAATCTATCTCACTCCCCAGAACAGATGATCTTTAAATTAAGTGCTAAGCCCTTTTCTGTATCAGTAAGATGTATTTGCAAGCAGACCTGGAACATGGATAAGCACATTGCCTTTGGGACCAAGATAATCCCACTCCTTGAACTAGATGACTTTGAGCAGCTAAATATGGACCAGAACACATAGCAAGAGCAAAGTCCAGCTGAAACCAAAGCTTATATCTAAACAACTCAACCTTATCGATGACTTCTGATTTTATGGGAAATGTAAACTAAGTTTTTGGAGGTTTTTGGAAGAAAAGGTAATGTTTAGTGGCAATGAAAATAAATGTGACCAAAATTTATATTTTCTCTAAAAATCACATCCAGGTTGCTCTTGTGGGGGAAAAGAGAGCAGGCACTGCAAATATTCCATACAGCTGTATTCAGCTGTGCTCCTAGAGGCCTATTCTACAATGACAGCAAGAGTGAGCTGACTGTGCTATAAATTATGAACTTTAAAAACCTGTGTTTTCTGCATTTGGTTATATATAATGCTAAGAAATGGACTGGGTAATTTACCAAGTTCTCTATGCTGTGAAGTCCCATGAAAGGGGTGTCTATGAAGCTGACATAGAGTGAACCTGTACAGATATCTCAGAAAACCTCAGGGCTGAGAAAGGAGACAGAAATACTGGGGCACAGGGAGAATACATCTCAGTAAGAGCTGGCATCATGTAGTCAACACCATGGGCTGAGCCAGCCAGGACCTGTGGCCAGTGCTGCAAGGTCCAGCTGTAGCCATGGCTCGGGCCATGCAGGATGGTTGATGGCTCCTTAAGCAGTACAGCACCTTAACATTGCCCTGATTTCTGTGTGCTGCTTTTGGGCCTTGTTACCTTTGTTTGAATGACTTGCATTCGTGGAAAACATTTAATTTCTATTTTGTCAAATGCCAGTATGAGCTTTAGTAACCTCTGAAGATTTTGTTTATAATTTTTTAGGTCAAAGTACCACATGTCATTAAAATGAAATGTAGACTCCTGGAACAAGTAAAGCTCTTTGAGATAAGCAGATGTTATTCCCTCCAAGATAAACCTCTAGGGATTAGGCAGAATTTGCCAAAACTGGAATCAACTGATATTCTGACCAGCATTTGAGAAATTCTCAGCAAGATCGGAATTACAGGCTAACATACTAAACCATTGCATGGAGAAGAAAAGTTTTTCCTTTATTTCTGTCCTTGAAAATTCAGTGTGATTGACAGAAGATAACAGGCCTCCTTCCTATGGCTTTGTCTCCATCTGCCTGTGCAGAGGATGGTTGACTGTGCCAGGAATGTTGGACTGCCCTGTGGAGCCAGTGTGCCAGTACTGCCTGCACACAACAGGGAGGTCTCTGCTCCAGGAGCAATGACAGACTGAAATGCTCCCAGCATGTCTACACGACCTTTCCTTACATGGCTGAACCCCAAGGTTATTTATTTCTCAATAGCAATAAATAAGTGACTAAGCAGCTAAGAAAAGTTTCTGGGTGTTTTTTTGGTTTTTTTTTTCTGTTTTTTTTTAAATGTCTTTGCAATGTCTTTAAATGTCTTTTGTAGCAATCAAAATGGTAGTTTAGACAAAGGTTAGACTCCAGGCATCAGTTTTGAGAAAATAAAAATAAATAAGGACACTTTGTCCCATGTAACTCAAATGGTACTCAGTTTCCACTGTCATAAAGAAAATACTGGATCCTCTTTGTTCTACTAGTCTATTATATTTAAAAAAAAAATGTGTTCCAATGCCTGTTTCAAGAGAAAGGGTGTCATACTCACAATTCTAGCAGAGTTTTCATAACTGATCCCTAACTTAGTCATTGCTTTCACAATAGCCAGGATAGACTGCACTGCATTACTGTAAACAATAGGTCTGAACTCCATGCGTTCCTGGTAGGTGAAACCATCTTTATGGATGATCCTGGTGAAAAAAAAAAACAACAAAAGGCTTATGGGATACATTTTAAGAAAAGAAAAAAAAAGAAAAGAAAAAGAAAGTAATGAAAAGTTAGGTCAGGTGCTTTTGTGGTCAGTGTGAGAAAGTACCAAATACATTTGGCTCTTGGAAAAGCATTTTTCAGTGGTTGATCTGTCTATTCTGCTAGAACAGGAAAACAGCAGTTCCTGTCTGTGTGGGGTTGTCTGCACCCACTCTGGGTGAATAGATGTTGGTTTTCCCCTTGCAGGTTAATCTAAAACAAAGTTGAATCTTGAACAGGAGCCAGGCCTATCTCTGGAGATAAAGGCCAAGATGCCTTTGTGTACTTAGATCCCAAATGTTTTACTATTGGAAACTACAATATTAGTCCTGGGCTGCCATTGCTTGTTCAGTCATTCTGATTTTTATCCAGAATCTTACCTAGTTAGAAATTATTAAAAAAAAAAAGTTTCAACACTGGGAGACATTTATCAAGAAAATAAGAAAAAAAATTAATATTCTTTTGTGCATCAGATACAGTTTCTAGTTATAACAAGGCCATGTTCTTCTTATTAGGCTTTTTTATTATTCTTATTATTAGGAATAAAATATACATTTTATTCCAGAGGGAAAAGAACCTTAGTAATCAATTTCAGTAATCTAATTCTGACAGAGGAATTAAAATTTCATCATCCTCCTCGACTGGAGAATGGCATGTGGTTAAAGTTCTCCAAATCAGTGTGCAGATTCTTGGAGACGTGGCTTGGAGACATCTTTTTCCACAAGTTGTGAAAAAGGACGAAATCTTCACCCACTTTGGCCTGGTGCTCTCAATGAACAGACACTGAATTGCTTTGGCTGCTGGAGCCAAGGCTCTATTCTACCTCACCTCAGCTGCTCAGAGTTTAAGGCTATTAAATACAGAATTTCTGGGCTTTGGGGTTTGTTGTTTTACCACATCTTGCCTGAGATACACTCTGGGAAAAGCTACCTAAATGGCCAAGTCAGCCCTGTCAGAAAATAATTCACTCATAACACACTAAACCCAGATGACAACTGATGTGTCTTAACATCTCTCTGATTTATGGATGTCAGAAAACTCAAAAGTTGCATTCCTGTGCCTGTAGGAATAACATCTGTAGGAAAAAAAAGGCTCTCTAAAATGTTTTCCCAATCATTTCTAGATCAGGCAACACTATGAACTTTCTTTTGAAGCTTTTTTTCCCTTTTTTCTTATTTTTGAATGCTGCTTTCATCAAGAATTCAAACAAATTCTGCAAGGTTCAAAGAAGTCTTATTGAACTTGGGAGAAAAAAAAAATAGGATCTCATGGAGCAGAGACCTCCCCATATTAAGGGTGCAGTCTTCTGAGGTTTTTATTCACAACAGCAGGGCTTCTCATCAGATAGGTGGCTTTGATTCAGTCTCAACAGGCATGATGAGTTACCAAATATTTTGCTTCCTGCTTTTCATTCACTGAAATATTTGTAGAAGCTTCATACAGCTAAATAAGAGCACAGTACAGAGATACTCAAGCTAGATTGCACATTGGAAATGATGCAGTTAGAAGCACAGAGCTCCAGAGTTGTTTTTGTTTTTAGTAACTCTCATAACCATCCTCATCTTCTTATGCTGCAAAGGCCTTACAGCATATCTGTATTTTGAGTACCAGAAGATAGTTTGTAAAGCTTAGTGGATGGATATAACTTTGATTCCGACTAAAAAAAGCGATTTATTAATTAGAAATTTATTTAATTAGTCAAACAATTACTATGATTTTGCTAGAAACTGTATTTTCAGCAAAATTATTCTTTTTAAGCAGTTATCAGTGTTCTTTTGCAAATGTTATGCCTCACTGAAGAAAATTAACTATTAGAGGTTTTAACAGAAAGACAAATGCCATAAAGTCCTTGGTTGTGAAAGAAATATGACATTTTATATGAAAAAAATACAATTTTTGTGAAAAGTTTTCCTGTAAAATAATTAATATTTGTGATCAGTTTGACAGCTCATAAATGCACAAGTCTTTATATACAACTCTCAGCTTTGCAGTGTTCTCCCCCTCCTCCATGCTGTTAAAGATTATCAGCTTTCTTAAAGTGCTCAGTTCAGAGGAACATCTTTAATCTGCTCCTGCTTGGGAAGCTTTGAGCACAATACACCTCAATGGTTTGCTGAATAGGAAGGGTCTCCTGAATGAAGCTCAAATCAGAAATAAATTTATCTACTATTTAACTGGAAAAAAAAAGGTTAACAAAGGATTTGGTGGATGGTTTGGAATCTGCTTTATTACAGAATGAGTTACTTAAATAATAAAAATTTCTTCTTATGACATCTTTACTCTTTAATATGCATTGATGAAGGTAATAGATAGGTAAGGGAACTTAAGTTTGGAACAGTATTAATGATTTCATAAAAAGATTGTTTGATTTTTACACAGGAAGAGATCAGTGCTTACAAAGTGGGATCAAATCTAAACAGCTGCAATCCCTGTGTAATTTTTTCTGTACTTGGACAAGTTTAGAAATCAAACCTGGACCTCTCTATAAAAATAAGACTAGACACAACAGCAATGTTTCATCAAGTTGTGCAGTAAAGGAGGACATTTACCATCCGTGGTCCCTTGAATTTTGGTGTATTATTAATTTAAGCAAGATACATAATTAGCATTTTAGCTACCCTTAAAAGAAAAATATGCATTAATTTAGTTGTAGCATGTTTTACTATATATGAAAGTATTGTCAAACTAAATTGTAAATCAGGACACACACGTAGAGAGATTTGATCTTTCTCTGAAGCCAAGGAAAGTGAAGTTCCTGACTTCAATCCACGAGGTACCTTGTGCATTTTGAACAACTACAAGTATTCTTGCAGTAGATTTATGATGCACTCCCAATATCTCTGTAACCAGATAGTCCAAATTTGAGCAGGGATTTCTGCATATGAGCTTGTACAGCCTTTTTTTCCCCAGATTGATTATTGTATAAAACCTTTTTGTGTTGATAATTTTCTTACTAAAAGCAGTTCTTACATCAGTCCCTACCCATGATATCGTGGGTAGCAGCTGCTCACTAGTGGATATTCTCCACTGGCCTATGGGAGACCCTTTTTACTTTGGGGGGAGCTCCGGAGACTAAGAATTATCTATAGAGGCCAATTTAGGGGGAAAAACCCAATGGACCAAACAAAAAAACACCATGAAAACAACCCCACCTCCCAAAAACACTCAGGAGGAAATCCCTCGCTGTTCTATGGTACAATGTGAATATTTCAATATTTGCTCTTGAAATACAGTGAAACCCAATGAAATTAATAGGAGAGATGATTCACACCAAGTGTAATTAAACAGTGGAATTACTTGCTGTAGAATGCTGTGGATGTTTTTAGTTTACATTGGTTCAGCAGAAGATCTCAGGGTAATTATTGATGATGAGATGAATTAACTGAGGGCTACTACAGAGACAGAGTGGTGCTGTCTCCAGTTGAGGATGGCTCCAAGCCACAGATCATCAGATACTGCCAAGATATCCAGCACAAGTGTGCTGGCTTGGCTGGTCTGATGATCTGCAAACATCCTTCACTGGCATCTGCTGGAGACAGGGTCTGCCAGGTGGATCAGCCATCACTGCTTGTCTCACACAGTCCTGCTCCCACCACCCTAACTCCCACCAAAGCCAAGGAAGCAGATTCCTGATCTCCGTGCATGGGCCCAGTGCGTGATTTGGTCATTCAGATTTGACTATCAATCCACCTGTGTGCCTCAGACACTTTGTGATTTTCTTTATAGCGTGTTTGAATGGAAACTTGATTTGAATGATGTTTCTTTGCATGTTATTCAAATAAGCATAAACATTGTAATAAGACTTTAGCTAGACAGCTTATACTACAAATGCCAAATTCAACAGCTGATATGCATATTCAGATACTTACTTCATTTGCTTTACAATAGTGCTCTTTCCTGACTCTCCAGCACCTGCAGAAGGGGAATGTTGAGAAGATATGATTGATAGACGAATAAGAAGCAAATATTAAAAATAACTCTCTGGAACACGGAATTTTCTATCTAAGAAGAGAAGTAGAGATGTCTTAGTTTCTCATTGTACTAAGTATAAACCTCCCCTAATATCCATTTGGATTTAAAAAGAAAAAAGTCTGGGGAAATTATTAATCCTGAAAAGTAAAGGGAAACTGAAAAATAAGTGAATATCAAGTCAATTCAAGAAAATTACAGAATTTTAAATTCTGTGTATAAAATTTTAAATTCAAGTGTATAAAATATGGATAATATTTTGATTTCATCTCTGGCAGATGGGCAGGAAAACATGAACAAAGTACAGCCTCTGATAGTGTCTCCTTTATTACCTGATTTGTTGCTGCTCTTTTAATGTATGTTATGACCTTTTGTATGCCAAGTGATCCAGCTCCATGCCCTTTAGCCAGCGTCCATGTGGAACCGGAAAAGCAGAGTGTAAGGACTTATATGTGGTCTAGCTCATGATGCAAAGGCAGCACACACATGAGCAAAGGACACTGTTTTTTTGTCAGCTCCTCTGCCCTGTGGTCTTCTGCCATGAAGTACTGTACCTGGAAGTGGGAAAACTGCAGGACAGTTCACCAGTTCACCTTGGGAATGGTTCTGCAGGAAAACCCCACAGCTGCTGAGGAAGTACAAATATTTGCTTATATTGAAGAGCTAGGGCATTGGTTTTTTTAGGGCATAGGCCAGATTATGTACTGCTAATTTGCCCTCTTATCTCATGGAAAGTGAGTAATCACAATCCAAGTGTTTCCATTGCAAATCAACACGAGTGACTATCATCTTCAGTCAATGAGAGTGATAAGGATTGGCAAGAGCTGCCAAAGAAGAGATAGATTTTTGGAAGCACCTGAAGAGAGAATTTAACTTTTTGAATCCATGGGACAGGAAGAATCATAGAATCAGAGAATATGCTGGTCCTCACAAGACACCCCTAGAATCACACCATGTGCCCAAGAGCATTGAACTCTGCAGGTTTGGTGCTGTGACCACTTCTCTGGGGAGCCTGTTCCAGTGCCCAACCACCCTCTGGGGGAAGAACCTTTTCCCAATATCCAACCTAAACCTCCTCTGACACACCTTCATGCTCTTTCTTTGAGTCCTGCCACAGATCTTGAAGTGATCAGTACTTTATCCTCTGTTTCCCGTCATGAAGATGTTGAAGACTGCAATGAGATCTCCCCTCAGTTTCCTCTTCTCCTGCTGCTCCTCATAATGATTCCTCTCCTGACCCTTCACCATCCTCCTGGCCCTCCTTTGGATGCTCTCTAATAACTTAATGACTTTTTGTACTGTGCTGCCCAAACTGCAAGCAGGACTCAAGGTGACAAATATTTGTCATATTTTTAGGAAACAGAACTGTTCATTACCAGAATTTGTGCTGTCTTTCCTGACTGGCGATGTTGTAGCCTAATCTGTGCCTGACTCTTCTGGCTGCCAGGGCACTGCTGGCTCATGTTCAGCTTTCCATTGACCAGGACCCCCAGGTGCCTTTCTGTGCCATTGCTCCTCAATCTCTCATTCCACAGTCTGTCTGTACATCCAGGATTGCCCCAACCCAAGTGCAGAATCCAATCCTTTCCCTGGCTGAACCAGGGTGGTGATTGCCAATCTCTCTAATTTGTTGAGATCTCTCTGCAGGGTCTCTCTCTGCCCCGGAGGGAATTGACAGCTCGTGCAAATTTAGTTTTGTTGAGAAATTTCCTTAGTGTTCCTTCAAGTCCTGCACCCAAGTCATTTAGGAAGATGCTGAAGACAACCAGGCTGAGGATGCAGGCCAGTGGAACCCCACCAGTGACAGGTCCCCAGCCTGATGTCCCCCATTAACCTTTGTGCCTGACCTGTGAGCCAGTTGCTCTCCCATTGCATAACTCTGTTATGCTGCTGTGAGCTGGATGTTTTATCCAGAAGGATCTTGTAAGAGAAAATATCAAAAGCTTTGCTGAAGTACAAAAAGATTCATCACTGCTTTTCTCTTTGTAGATTTCCTTTTCCCTCATGGTATGATGTCACATACTTCTGAAAAAACTAAAATCCAAGGCCTAGGTTTTTTAATCGAGGACTTCTCAGTAAATGGAACAACCTGATTACAGACTTTTCAAACACATTCTGTAAAGTTAACAGTATTCAAATGACAGGGATTAATTTACTCAAATGAATCACAAAAGACAGCAAACCATACTCAAAGCATTTTCTGAAACTCATGATGTGAATGGTGAAAAGTGTAAGAGAAAAACAAGCCCATGCAAAATGGGCCGGTGCTGCCATCTGCCACAGTTTGGAAAAAAATGCAAATTTGTTGTAGATCATTTATCATCCTTTCAGTGACCTTCTGAAGAGCTTGGTAAAGCCCTGTCAGCAAGGCAGTGTTTGCTGCACTTTTTGTAGGGAAGAGAGGAGGCTGTATTGAGATTTCATGCATTCACCTCATGGAAAGAGCCAGCAAACATAATATAAAAATTAACTTCTCTTCCAGATCTGAAAGATGGTGCTAAAATAGAGTGAGTGGCATAATTTATATATTCTGTGTGCGTTTTTCTACCTCTGCTCATCTTAAGTTTATGATCCAATAATGCTTTTATCTAAACAACAGATGACTTTCAGACTTTGACATCACCATAGAGTATCATCTTCGTTGTAGCAACACTTCCTCCCCAGAAAGTGGGTCAGGAATTATTTTCTTTGAACCTGCTTTTTAAATTCCTTCCCTTCACCATGTAGCCTCCTCCTTTGGCCAGTCCCTGGTATGGAAGACCAGGGATAGGGTTGCATTTCCACCTGCTGGATTTCTACCAGTGGATTTCTACTTACAGAAATAGTGGCAAAAGTGCATCACAAAAGACTCAGTGTGACTGCACAGGGAGCTGAAGGCATCTGCTGCAAGACAGATTTTCTGAATCATAGACAAGTATTTAGGACAAATAGTCTTATCCTGAAGATCAGAAAGAACTTAGTTTTGATAAACTCTGTCAGCTGTGAAGATTTATAGCTCCACCTGACAGGTACTAGTGATAATAAGATATCACCATATTTAATATTTTGCATATTTAAGATCTAGCTTAAATTTACTTCTCATTTCTGTTTCTATTTCCTTGACATGGATAACTGCACAGAGAATACTGGCACAAAAGTCTCAGCCAATGCTTGAAACTCTGTCATGCTCCTGGGAGCTGAAAGGTGTCCCCACTGCCAGTAACATCAGAGATCTCCTCCACTGTGCCACAGGGCTGGACTCTGTGTGGACCATGGCATGTAGACAGAGCAGAAATAGAGAAAGCAACAGAGGTGTCTTGAAACCCAGTGAGAATCTCACAAATTCAAGGGGAAGCAGAGCCCAGGCCCTCAGCTGTGATTTGACTTTTTTGTTTTTCTAAGCAGAATTTGTTCAAATAGTTGTGGAGAGTATAAGCTTTAAAGATTAGCATCTGCTGAGACATAGAGGAAGGTACTTATATATTAAGGTGCTGTTGTGTCTCAGATAAAGAATTATTATCTCTTTACAGTTATTATCACTGTGGAAGGAAGGGTTTAGTTTAGAAATTTTTCCAGAATTAAACATAAGGAAATAAAACCCCCCTCCTGAATACTTTGTTTAAAACCTGTCGGAAAACCCACTGACAATGACATAAATCAGCAAAAAGCAGGAAAAGAAAATATTCAAATAAAATCAGGAAATGTTTCACACCCCTGCCTGAGCTTTGTCTGTGCCATTCAGAACTCTGGATATTGGGAGCTAGAATGGAAATCATATCTTCCTGGTCCTCTTATGAGACTCAACAAATTTAGCCTATGGGAGAAAGAAACTCCAGAAAAAAAAAAATCTAAGACCTAACTCCCTTGAGAGAATAAAGTCCTTAAATACTGCCCCACACTATAAAAAAGAAAATCAGTGTATTTCCATCAATGAGATTATTGGACTGGTTTTGTGCCCAAAGCTTATGTTTCCAGGTTAGGTGTTAATAACAAGAATACTTGTTATTAAAAGTAAACAGTATTATTAAAAGTATAAAAGCATATAAAAGTATTAACAGTATATTAAAACAGTACTACAGTAACGGATTCATTTAAGTAACTGATTCATGTTAAGTATCTATATTATAAATTTCTGCATTCAGACTACTTACCAGTGGCCTTTTATAGTCAGTGGAGAAACCATTTACTACAAAAAATTAAGCGAAACAGGTTCAATTCCTGTTTCCCCGAAGCACATGTTTAAATTAAATTGTGTGAGTTGTGCTCCAAATGGGGGTAAAGTGAGATGAGGATGACCAGTTCTGTTGAGGGTGGCTTTTGTCCTGACACTGAAAACTGTAGACAATGAGACTTTGAGTAATTATTTGAAAATAAATAAGTTTAACTTTTAATGGTTGTTTAAACGGAACCTAAGTTCTTATTTCTGTGAAACATCACTGTGAGCATCAGCTATTTTTGCCATATTTGGAATGTGCACTGTACTTTGCACACCTATAAGCTGAAAGCTGGTCTCCTGCAAAGCATACAAACAAACTGCAGGTGATGTGGCTGGCCAAAGGAAATAAAACTTTCACCTTGGAGTTTGTTCCAGACTCATAAAACGTTCTGATCTTTTTGAAGTATAAAGATGTAGAGACCAGATTTGTGGACGTGTTGGGGGATGGGATGGCTCTGACAGCATGGGAACACGTAGCCTAGTGGACTTAATGCTCCTGGCTTCTGGCCAGCTTGTGAGGAACACCAGAAAGTGACACAATTTCCCTCCTCCCTCAGTTTATATGTGCATACCATATTAACTGTAAATCATCTCAACTCAAATAGTGTGTTCGCCTGGGTTATAGAACTTGATATAAAAAAACATGGTGCCTTTTTTTTTTTTTTTCTGAATGTAGTTTCTATTTTTTGTAAAGGGATCTACTGGAGGCTGTAGAGACACTGCATTAGATTTTAAATAATCCTCTCAGAAAAGAGTCAGAATACACTGTTTTTTTACATTTTAAATGTAAGGAAAAAAGTGATTACACTGAAAAGCTCATGATATACATCTCATTTTTTTTCTGAGTATCTTCTACCAACTTGCCTATTGCAAAAAGCAACTATGACATCTGGTCTGAAGTATAAAGGCAACATAAAATCTGACTGAACAGAAAGCTAGAACTAGGTAGGACTAGGCTGGCTTGAATAGACTTGCCTTTGATTTATGAAGTCTAAAATTTGCATCATTTCTGATATCACCTCAGAGGTGTGGAAAGATAACAGGTACACCGTAGAATAATCTGAACACAGTAGATTGAATCCTCTCCATTTCACACAGCCCCTATGGAAGGGATGACATGGTGTCCCTTCTGCACATTGCTTCAGCATCTCTGGTTCCACATGTTCGAGAGACACTTTCACTCTGATCGCTCAACAGGCTCCAAATACAGTTTATTCACCACTCATTTTTTTAAGAACAAGAAAATCTAAGTTATTAAGATTTTTTTTTTGTCTCTTTAATATGTTTTTTACGAAGACTTTCTGATCTGTTGTTCAGGAGAAAAAAAGCCTTCCAAAACACTACCACTGACAAATTTGAATTTTTATCATGTGTGGTGTGAGTAAAGGAAGATATTGTAAAAACCTATAAAGAAGTATTTCAGATCCAAATAATCATCTTGTCTCATGAAAAGAGTGTTTGTGTAGCTAATGAAACTGAAATATGTAGGTTGGAAATAAACATAATAGAAATCTTCATGTAGCTTGCATTGAAATTCAAAGTATTTTACTAAAAGTATCTCAAGGCTGATATTAATAGTGTCAGAAGAAGACTGATTATATACATTAGGAAACATTTAAAACTGAAGTCCTTAATACTAAACACATACATATGTTCAGTGGTGGAGGGGAAGAGCCTTCAGTAATACAGCAATACTGTAAGGGCACAAAAGCTTGAAGATAAAACGGCTTAACTTATAAATTCCTCTTTATCTGGAAAATTCTTCCTTATCCTGTACATTCCTCTTAAAGGATTTCTTACTTTTTCCTCATTGATAAGGTTAGATAAGGTCAAAGACAGGATGCTGAATTAGATGGATCCTGGTTCTAATTCAGTGTCCCAATTTCTTTTTTAAACAATATATATAAATTACTTTAAATTTTTGCAATTTTAAATGAAAATATTGTTCTGGGGTTTTTTGACCAACTTAATCTCTCCTCATTAGGAGCAGTATTTTATATTACTGTAGCACAGAAAATCTTTGTATTCTTAACTGGACTGAAAAGCTTGGCAAGCCACAATCCAAATACTGATGGCACATAAAGTGTATCAAACTGCTGCTTTCCTATTATTATTTGAGAAACCTGCGTGTTCTTCTCTTATTTATTTTTGAATAATAAATGTTTGATTTTTAACATGTATAAATAGACCTTTTTCATAAGATACAAAACAACAGTATCGATTTACTTTATCTAAGGGATCTAGTTTTGTCTGAATAAATGCCAGTTTAAGAACCTTTGGAAAAAACTGCAGTTACAAGAAGGACAAAAAAAAGAAAAACACTTCAATGATCAAAGACTGTTTTTCTATTCACTGGGAGAAATCAGTTAACTTTTACAAGAAGTTGTTAGAAGAAAAATATTAAGACAGTGGTGTTAATATGATCTCAGATATTTCTTGTAAGCTGCACAGCCCCATGGGGGAAAAAAAAGGATGAGAATGAAGCTGTGTCAAGAAAAAGAATGTCTTTTCTTTTGCCATTACAGCCTCTGTCTGCTAATAAATTGATCATAGTGAGGATTAGAAGTAGTAGTTTGTGAGAATATTTATCTGTATTTGTCTGAGTATTTTTCATTCCACTCTCCATTATACATCAAACAAAGCCATTCTAAATCACTTTCTGCTTCTTTAAAAAATGGAATGAACCAATTTTCAAGATAAACAATATCAATATCTTGTGACACCCGTGGATTTTTTATGTAACCAATTATCTTACTTAATCCTCCTGGAAATGAATGCATATAGATCCATGAAAAAAAGAGATAAGTGGGCTATGTTCTGTGTAAGTTTATATCATAATATTTATTCTAACAGCAGGTTCTAATTTCTCAAACATATTCAAAGTCAAGGATTTATAATATTTAAAATTGAATACATGGCCATTTCCAGCCTATTCTTTGTGACTCCATGAGTGGCCACAACTAGAAAACATTTTAAACATATATTACAGAATTGTCTTCAAATAAAATAGTGAATGGTGAGAAATTCATTGTACTCAGAGGTAAATCCAGAGAAAAACAACCTCTCAATGGAAAAGCATTATGAGAATTTTTATTCTATTTACCCAACAGTAGTAGTTTGACTGTCCTGGCTTCCCTCTCTGCATCTTCCTGGAGTTTCTTTTCCAGTTCTCTGGATCTCCTGGCTGACTCCTTGCTCTCTGAACTGGCTCCACTGCCCATCTTGAGATGTTAAAAAATTCTCTTTATGCTGCTGATTAACTTCTTATCAGACCAGTTGCTTTAGTTCAGAAGGACAACCATCAGTGCTTAAAGAAAATTTTAAAATCCCATTCGACCTCTCTGGTCAGCCTTCAAATCAAATGCTCCTTTTTCTCCTATCACATGACCTGGAGATGCTGTAGTCAAGCATTTACATAGGGAAACAGAAAGGAAGTGTTATGACATCATAGAATTAAAGTTATCCATTCAAGATCAAATCAAATCAAGGTATGCATAGACCTCTCTTCTTGTTCAGGGAGGTTTTGTTTTACACACTCCAAAAAAATGTGTAAAATGTCTCGAAACAGGATAGGAAATAACGATAGAGTATAATTTTCAGCTTGTGAAGCAGTATGCATGCCCCAAGCAAAAACCCACAGTATTTACACTTTTTGGTTTTCATTTTTCTCAGTGGTCATAACTCTAAATATATGGATCCTATATTTTCCAATGACAGAACTTGCATTTACATAGTAAAGACATTTTTATTTATTCTTTTGATTTATTATTTTTTATTTATTAGCCAGCATGTGGAATGTTTGCTGCATTTTCATATTATGGCAAGGACACTTATTTTCTTGGAATGGTAAAGGACACCTTACAGTAATTTGTAATATCTTTGTAATAATTTTGCTCAGACATTCCTTGATTATTGTCAGAGTCTTTGCCATATTTTAAAACTATTTTATCAGCAATTATCAGTTTTGGCTGAAAACACCATACATTTTCTTAGGTAAGAAAGGACATGGGTCAGATTCTTCCCACTGATGTAATATTTTCATCTTCATAGTGCGACAGTATTATAGAAATATTTTATGTGCTATGATGGAAATATTGCTTGGCATGTGGTGTCAGCAGTATATTGAGAAAATACATCTACTGTAATGGTGTGGCAGTGAAAAGGTGTAGAATTACTGTCAGAACTAAAAGATAAAAAATACTTTTTGTTTGCCCTTTCTTTTCAGATTAAGGATCTAAATTAAATAAATTATACCAGTGTGACAGACTACAATTCATTTTACACTTATTCACTTTATAATGTATTTTGGTTATATAAAAAGCATAAACATGAAATGATATTACAATTCTCCAATTATTCACTAATACTAGTTAATAATGCTCTAAATTCACAGTATGTAAATATATAAGGTTCAGCATGAAAATAATGTTTAAGGGCAAAACATGCATGCAGGTTGTTTTGATTTATGTTGGAAGCATTTTTATGTCAGAAGATAGATGAGGAAGAGGGCCAGAGGCAAACTCATCCCATCCTAGTGAGAAGAAACTTGCCCACAGCAGTGGTGTGTGGACCTCAGATGAAAGAGGAAGGAAGCTGCTACTGGGTGGGGGAGATGAGGGTGAGCAGAATAAATATCACCAGTGTACTCATGAATTCTGAGCTGCCAGTGCTGGAGAGAGATGACTTTGAAAAAAGACAGGCCCTTTGCTGTGCCCATCCCATTCAGCACTGACTGACTTCTCAGGCTTGATTTTCAGACCACAAGGTGCAGTAAAGCACAAAGCTGTGGTTTGTCAGTGTATTCCTCAGTCAGCAGCACATGAAGCCATGCAGTTTGAGTCTCCTTGCACTGAGTTGTCTGAAATGAACAATCAATGCTTGTTAATGGCTGAATTTTTGCATATGTATTTACAATGCAAGAAAATTCTCTTTTGTTAAGCTTATATTCCTACTTTGTTTATTGTTTAAAACAGGCCATCATAAGATCTTTACACAGCCATAGTAGTAACTGATTTGTTTAAAAAATGAAAATAAGCAACCTTGTAAGTGTGATATCTGTGCCAGGTGTCTGTTTCTCAGAACCGTAGGGAAGTGCAGTGTTCCTATGGATTTCAGGGGGCTTGAAAAGTCAGCTTTTCTGAAAACTAACAGAACTAAACATTAACTGATATCACAAATCATGGAGATGAACATCATCTCCAAGTTACAGGCCCAGTTCACTACTCAATGTTCTACACATTTACTAGTATAATTCTATTAATTTTGCATTTAGTTCTTGCAGTATCAAACTGGAAGAGGGTAAGAGTAAATCATTCAGTTTACTGGATGGGTGTAAATGAATCCTCATTTACATAAGTTTTCCTAAATGGAAAATAATGGAAAATCAATGTGCATCCCATAAAAGAAGTTTCCTAACATTCTTTGTTATTATGATTATGCACAGGAATTGGCTTTAAATAAGTAGATGTCTAAATCAAGCAGATTGTAAAGAGAATGTGCATAAATAAAGATAAAACCAGTTATTTCATAAACATGCAATGTCTATATTATCCATTTTGTTTACTCAGTTCTACCTTCAAACTCTTAATAGTTTGCTGAAAAAAACCCCCACAGCAATCGGTTTCTATTTCTTTAGTAAGTAAACAGGATTCTGTTTTGCTTTAGACATCCTCCTCCTCTTCCTCCTCATCATCACAAACAATGTTTTGATAGAGAAAATTTCTGCTGATGATTTAGCCAGAACTAAAAGACAATGCCTTACAGGGTTCAGTTAATTTTAAAATGCTTTTTGATATTTTTTCTGGACCTCTTCGAGATGCAATAACAAACATATGGTCTCACCTTGCTTCTCTTTTATTGTTTCAACCACCTTTGTTTGGTATGGAAGTCTTTGAATGCAAGTCTGGGAAATGCTCCTTTGAAATGAAGTTACGCTTCATAAAGAATATGAGTTTTGGGGCTGGAGTTGTTTCTGGTGATTCACTCTAGGTGGTGCTGATAATATAGAGTGTTCACTAAAGCATCCTGCAGCCGTACAAGCTCTCAGACTGTCTGAGAGTCTGTTTCAAGTGATCTCTTCAGAATTCATGGATGGGGCAATTCGGATTTCAGTTGCAAATTTTTATTTTATATTAAACTTGGACAGGTCTGGGATTTGTTTGACAAATAATATAGATCATGCCAGCAATAGAGTTCTCAAGTAACTTCAGTTTTCATTTTCAGTTTCATCTGAAAGTATCATGTCCCAGTCAAAGAAAGAGGAATAACTTAGGAAATTCATACCTTTTATCTCTTGCTTTCTCTCTATGTCTTTGCATTTGCAATTTGTTCATACTGGAATTTGGTAATCTTTTTTCACTAAAATGAGTGTTTTGCCTTTTTCCTGATAAAATTTAGTGGATTGACACGGATGAAAAAGGAGGAAGCTTCAGAAAGAATAGATTTCTCTAAATCTAGGATCATCTAATATGAATCCTTCAGTATGCTTCTAAATAAAGGAAGCTTGAAAAATCTTCGATACCATGCCTTTTACAATCAGAGGAAACTGCTCATCTCTTTTGTCTGGCTGCTGAATTTCTTGCACACTGGCAACAATTCAGAGGGAAAAAAGACCCACTGAAATATTGACAAACCCATCCAGACTTCAGTAATCACCAATGTGCAAAGATACCAGCTCTGAAACCTGCTAAGAGCCTTATCTGTGGCACTGGGCCACAGTGGTGGGGTCAGAATATTTGTGGGGATGAGGCAGTGTCCCCACCAGGGCTGTGCTGTGTCCCCTGTGCAGCCTGGATTGTCACCTGCACGGCACAGGGACAGGGACAGGGACAGGGACAGGGACAGGGACAGGGACAGGACAGGGACAGGGACACTGCCTGGCTGCTGTCACACAAGGGCCAGGTGGGTCTCAGTCCTCCTGGGAGCTTTGCACGAGCATGCAAGATGGACCCAGAAGAAGATTCAATAATTCAGCAATGAAAAGCCCTGGGAAACTCTAAGTTTGAACTTATTTCTACTTTGAGCTGAAGGTTGGACTCAGGGAGGAACCTGAGGGTCCCTCCCAACAAAAATACACCTATTGATTCGTTAGAGAGGTTTCACATAGTTTGACCTTAGCTTTAATTTATAAAGCTTGTATAGACAAGAGTTACTAAGACCTTAGTTTGCTTCTTTTCTTACCCTCCATATTAAAAAAAAATTAAAACTTGAATTATTTTCTTTTTATTTGCTCTGCCTCCTCCTAAGCTATGTTTCCCTTTTCTGTACAGGATATAAATGTGAGCATCTAAGCAAAATCTAAGATTTTTGTGTCATTTTGGCCCCTCACCCCCCCAGTTTGCCATCTTCTGTCTAGGAAACCTTACCAAATAGCAGAAGAAAAAAGAAAATCTTGGCCCTTAGCTCTATACAGTACAGGAATATTTGCAGAGCCATTTAGTTCTGTAAGAAAGATAAAAGGAATGATGCGGTCATTCATTTTTATTTTCACAGAGGCGAGAAAAAAAGAAGGAGGAAGGATAGAAACAACATTACAGATGTCAAAAGAAAATATTTTAAATACAATAAAGAGTTCTCGCATTTTCAATCCTGTTAAACATTTTCCCTCAATTATCGATATAATCAGCAATAAAATTCCCTTTTTGTGAAAATCTGAGTCCCGCTATGACATAGGTGAACTGTTCTGGCTTTGGCACTCATTACCCCTCATTCTGTAATTGCAGCTTATGCTGATTCAATGGAATGTGTGAGAAAAGATTATTGAGCACTACGGGGGACTCACTGGCTGAGTATTGGTCCAGATAAGACCCACTGCATTCTGACAAGTTTGCCAGTACTTCAGCTGAAACATTGTCTGTGTTTTCAGGAAACCTATGCCATTTTTTGACAGTAGATGTGTGGCTGAGCTGCTGTGTTCACATTAAGAACTGGTCATCCCAAAAGTCTGGAACTTTATATATATATATATATATATATATATATGTGTGTGTGTATATATATATATATATACACGTATATGTTTGGCTGACCAGTGCAAAAAAAAAGCAACATCCAGTGCAAAGCTATAAAAGCTCAAACCCTTCAGTGTCTCTTGAACCAATACTCTTATTCCAGTCTGTGCTTAGAGGATGGCTGAGATGTGTTTGACAGAGTTGCACTGAGCCTGGCAATTTCCCCTGGCTTCTCACATAAGAACAGCAAATATTTCAGGCTCTGACCTTTC